GTCCTCAACTGAACTCACAATGCAACAGTTAAAAATATAACTAGTAAACTATGTGCCATACACTTTTAAATATTGAAAGTGCAAAGTCATTTGTACCGGGACCTAGTCTTCTTGCATGCCTGGAAAATACCAAGCTCTATAGAAATACAAGATAAAACTACAAACAATAGGGGGTTTCAATGCTTCATAGCATTGGGGCAGTGTCCCAGATTCCCCAGCATATTTGAAGATTCATTCTACATGGTATGGGACAGTGGGAATCAACCTTTTTGGTAGGCATGCTACAAATTAACCACACTGCACTCTCCCCAAGAGCCACTCCAGTCCCTTTCCTCTGCCTGATCTGTTCTGCAGTCTGCTCCCATCCCCGTGCTCCCTGCCTGTCCTGTTGCACTGCTTTCTGCTTCTTTCCCTGTGCCCCCTGCTTGATATGCTGCCTTTTTTCTGCTTGCCACCCTATCTCCTGATGCTGTGCTGTCTGTCCCCTCCCCAGTCTGCCATGTGCTACACACAGCGACCGTCCATTGCCACTCATTCCACAGGTTATCCAACCCTTGTATAGGTATAGACTTTGGTATGGATAAACACAAGTTTAAAGGTGATGGGCAAGGGAACGTACACAGGAGATCAAAGACCATGCTAAATGAGCCCTGCCTAATACCCAGAAATGGCCTAGGAAGGTCACGCAAAAGTTGTCTGTCTTAGTTTCATGCTGTGCATTGTGCATCAACTTTTTCTTGAACACCTTCCATTCTCTCTACCTCCCCTGCCCATTCTTCACTCTTCACTCAAGAGCAAATGAGGGAGCTCATCAAAGCCTTGATACTTACTGTCACCATGCAGATGAATATGTGAAGTACTTATGTTTATGTAGATCAGCTCATAGCCTCTGCTCACACTGAGCACACTTGGGGCACAACACCCTTGCATTCCCTACAGTACACCATGGAGAATTTTAGTCATTTTTTATAGAACCCATAGAAGTCTACTAGGTACTTCACATAGAAAGAGCAATTTCCTTGCTCAAAAACTCTCACAAGCAAAAGGGCTGGATTTTGTCATAAGGGCACTGCAGTACAGCACTTAAGAGACACTGATAGAAGTGATATTTGTCATGCGACCGGCTCCCTGAAAGTGCTCTACAGACACACGTCCATTTAAAAATGGCTGATCATGCAACAAATTAACCCTCATCTAATAAGGGATCAAATGAAGGTGCTCCAAAGTAGAATGCCTTAGGGAACTTCTGCAATCCCTGTGTGCAATGGGGACTGGGCTGGTGCTGTCTGCAGGAAGGGAGGAGGGAGAAAGGAGGGGGAGGGAGGCACATGGACTGGAGCTCCCCTGCCTCACAGCCCCCCTGCACCCCGTCCTTCAGTTCAGGCCAGGCAAATCCCAGCCTGCAGCTCCCCCTCCATCTCTTCCTTCTCCCCTCCCCTCTGTAGACAGCACAAGCCCAGACACAGTCACACACAGGGACACAGGGACTGACAGAGGTTCCCTAAGGCACTCTACATTAGAGAGCACTGGAACTGGGGGGGAGGAGGGGAAGAGAGGCTGCATCAGGCCAGCCCCAATTGCAGGACAGGCAGTCAGGCTCGATCCTCCCCTAATAGACGGACATCTGTTGGGTTGGGGATCACTCTAACTTGTGGCACTATATGCAAAGTGGCATGAGTTAGAGAGGAAACCTGCACGTCTATCAGTGTGCAAGGTGTCTCAAAGGCACAACTTTGACCTCTGCTCCAAACTTTTGCTGCTTCAACTTGGCACAGCAATAAATGGGTGCATGGTCATTCAAGCTGAGGCAGTCAGATATGATGCTAATCACATCCTATCAGAGAAATATGTATGTCTTTCCCACTCTAGCCCAGTGGGCTCCCTAGACATGGATGAGCCTTTTTGACCCTCCTACATGAAGCCTTTCACTGATATACCACACCAAGCTGAGATGATGAACAGGAAGCAGACAGAGAAGAAGGATAACTGTGTGGTTCTGGAGTTCAGGCAGATGACCACCTTAGTGATTCATTCAGTATGTCTTTATAAAGCATATTAAAAGTAAGGAACAAATTTATAAAAAAGAGATACATATTAGATAGTGAATCCTTTTCACACACTTGTGGCCACTGCAGAGGAGGTGAAGTTCCAGTGGTTTAAAATGAGCAAAGTCTTGACAGAAGAGACCAATTAGAGCAGCAGAACTGGCTTAGAGACACTTGGGAGAGAAATTAATGAAGGCAGACATAAAAACTGGAACCACTGATGGTGTGCAGGACTCAGGAAGGGATACAATACACTGAATATTGCCCATTTCAACCACCTTACCAGAAGATGGCAAACAACAGAGTGAAGTCATCTGACTTTCCTTGTACACCCAAAAAAGTCCTACAGACTTCAATAGGAGGTTGTGATACAGAAGGAATGGAAGATAAGCATGTTGGAAAGAAGTATTGACACTCCATAGCAAAAACTTTGGTATATAAGGTTGAGGGCCAACTCATGCTGAAAACCAACTGTCTGCAAAGAGAACAAGAGCTAGCAACAGGTCTAAAAGACCAGGGGGAGAGAGTTAAGACATACCCAAAGGGATGATTTGATTTGATTTCTGTATCACACTTTTACAATGATTTCACACACATTTAATAAAACCCATGGAGGCTTGAAACTGCAATGGACTTTTACCAATTGTTTCCTTCCAGGAACTCACTATGCTACATTTGCTGCTAAGGGCTGTACTACAGGTTATTTAAGGATAAAAAACATTTATTGTTTGGATGGGAGCACTTTTGGAACAGAAGTGTCCAGTAAGCAATATCCAGCACTAAGTAAACTACTTAATTTGCTTTTTCTGAAGACAGAAAAAAATTTAAAATTAAAATAAAGAGGTAGATTAAATGTGGGACAATGTTATTGTTTTTCACCTTTGATTTGGTCATGGAAGGAAAAATCAAAGTAGGATTAATTAATATTCATTAGGAAAGGCTTTAGCACATTCTGTTTCTCATGCCAGCTCTTCTTTTCCTCTTGTCAGCACAAATTAGGAAAAAGTGAGAACTGAAGACATTAAAATGCACTGTAAATGTAGGGGCAAACCATTTCATGCTTCTGGTTTCTTTTTTTGCTCAAAACTGAGTAATGTCTAACTGCAGCCAGGCACCCTTTTACATAGTATTGTCACTGCAAAGGAAATGTAAGACTCCAACCATCAGCTTCTACCTGTGCTATGACAGTGGGTCACAACCTTGTCAGACTCAAGGCACCCCTTGGAAAAAAAAACAGCTCTTAGCTTTCACTCTTTTTTTGAGTGCGGAAGAATAAAGGACCGATTCTTCTCTTGCAAAAAAACCCCTCTGAAAGACCACAATGGGTGAGCATGGTTTTCACACTATGGCTTCCTATTTGAGATCTCTGGGTTCATCTTGTGAATTGTGTGTAGGTGTTTACCCCCCTAACAATGCTCATATTGTGTGGCAGCACCCCAAGACACCCTTAAAAGGATCTGGTAGTGTCCTGGTTTAAAAATCACAGTGGCAAGTACTGTACACTCAGTGCCATAGCAAGTGGGGGGAGGCCAGCAGAGCGACCGCCCCGGGCACAAAAGCGAAGGGGTGCGACAGGCGCGGCCCAGCCAGGATGGGATATGGGCAGAAGCGCGAGTGGCTGGTTTGGGGGGTGCAGGGATGGAGGTGGGTCCTGCTGCTGTGTGCACTCCAGGGCAAGCGGGGAGGGAGGAGCGTGTGCCCCCCAGATCTGTGCACGGGGTGGGGGTGGGCTGCTGCTGTGGGCTTTGCCCCACAAGCCAAACTTCCTTGCCATGGTACTGAGTATGCTTTCCCAGGGCACAGCCAGGCCCACAGAGAAAAATGGTAGATGGAAAACAGGCAGAGGGTCAGCGAGGGGGAGCCCAGTGTCCTACAGCAAATTGATGACAGGGACCCTTGCTGGCCAGTCCCTCCCGCCTCTCTCAGCATCAGGGAGGCTGTACCACACCAGTGAGCAGGTTGGCATTAAAGGCCTGGGGATAGCTCCCAGGGTGGCCAGGACCAGAATGGTTTAGCAGAACCTCAAAGCCCCCGGGGAAGAGCTGAAGGGCCTGCCCGTGTCCAGCCCTGACCCGAACAAGGTCTGGCTGAGGTGTAAGGCCCCACCCTGAAGCTGCCATGTCTTCAC